TAATGGTTCTAAAACCCTCTGAATGATTTTGTATGGTGGATCTCCCTTAACCATTAAGAGCCTTAATTTCATTGTACACAATTACCAAACAATTATATTTCATTTTGCACTATATCATGAGAGTCTCTTAATCATTCTGCACCAAAACATTCAGCAATTGCCAAACAGCCCCTAAATCACCATATGAAGATATTGGATCATCGCTAAACCCAAAAAGCCACATAGCCACGACCCTTTGACCCATTGGAATCGCGAGTATGACATATTGATGTGTTAACTGCTCCAGATTCTTCATATACAAAAAAATAATGCCAACTAGCATAAATATTGCAAATGCTATGTTGACTTATGGACAAACATACTTTGGGACTATGCGTCGCATAAACAAAAAGACATTTGGTCTCTTGAAAAAATCCTTCAAAAGTAAGTAAATAACATACGTCATTCAAAATAAATGCAACATTTGACTATTTCACTCTACAACAACCACCAAATATATATGGAACATATGTGAAAATGTGCAGATACGAGACTTGTTCCAATATCAGTATGGTTGGTTTTAAAAAGAATATTAGATAATAAATACAAAAATAACAGACGTTAAACTTATAACTAATTACAAGCTTATTAAAACAAAAACAAAAAAATCAAAGATATGAATAGTACAACAGTTTAATTTAAAAAGAATTAAAAGTGAAAACTTATTATATGAAACCTGTCACAATCTAAATTAGTCATCAGAAAGAGCAACAAATTTCAAAACCTGCTATTATTTTACAAAGTTTGTTGCCTTACGAAAATAGTCACAAATATATTTTATTTTAAGTTCAATAGATTGTGAAACATTATTAATTTTTTCTATGTGTAATTCTTTTTCTAGTGACTTCTTTAAATGACTGAATACTATATTTATATTATGTTACAAAACATTTGACGAAAACTCTTAAAAATCATTTTTATACATGAAGTATTGTTAATTAATGTATATTACTTAAAATGAGGTGTATACAAAAATAATATTTATTTATATTTTATTAATTTATTATATTTCCAAATTTTGATCCCCTTCTTTTAAGTACTAATAAATCTAAATCTTTTTTTTTTCCGTTTTCAAATACAAACCCGTACGGTCTTTCATTTTGGTATCTATTTCATTATTTATTATTTGTGTTTTATATTATTTGAGTTTTTGGTGATTAACTTGTCACGTTTGTCAAAAAGTACGTTGATAACTTATTTGATAAATATAAAATGATTAAAAAAATACTAAAATATATTAAT